CATAATCACCATCAACATCATTACCATCACCGTCACCACCACCGCAACCAACACCAAGATCATCCATATCAACATCATCATCACCACCATCATCATCACCGTCAAAACCATGATCAGCATCATCATCATCATCATCATCATCATCATCATCACTGATCATCACTATCACTTTCATCTGCATCATCATCACGGCCCTCCCACCCTTGAGCAATCGCCACCCAAAATGCTAGGCTGAAGCGGTGACGGGACTTACCGCAGCCAGCTGAATATGGAAAGCTTCCTCCGAGAACTCCCACACGATAGCGTCCCACCCGGTGGGGTCCACCCGATAGGGTCTCACCCGATGGGGTCGCACACGATAGGGGCCCACACGATTGGGTCACATCCGACAAGCCCCCAAAGTACCACCCGATAGTTCATAGTGCCCCACCTGATAGAACCCCACACGGTGGGGTCCGAACTCACAGAACCTCACAAAACACAATAACACACGGTAGGGTCCGGCCCGTCAAACCCCAACACGATAAGGTCCCACCAGCTGGGGTTCCCTCCGATAGGGTCCCGCACTAATTTCAATCCGATAGGGTCCGACCCGATAGGACCCCACCCGCAAGGATCCATAGGATACGGTCCCAAACGGTACGGTCCCACTCGGGACGGTTCCGCCAATGGGGTTCCATCCCACGGGTCCCACCCGATGGGGTCGCTCACGGTAGGGTCCCACCCAATAAATTCCATCCGGATTGGTTTTTATAGACTCACGGATATAAGACTCTAACCCCGTGCAGGCTCCAGCGGGGCACAGCTGGGAAAGGAACTGGAAAAGGAAAGGGCAAGGGGAAGAAAGGTCCCCACTATGGACAGCACCCGGCGAGCACATTGTTTCACCCGCCGCTGCAGATTACGGTTTATTGTAAAAATGCATGCATACACACAGCGCAGAGGTTGGCAGACATGCTATCCGACCTGCACGACATGACGCGGGACTTCGTTTGCTTCAGTGAGACAAGTGCCGCTGCGGCAGAGCGCGATCTCCACGGCAACCACCGGCTGATAAACCACCGTAGCGAGGTTTACGGTGGAGTGTCTGTTTTAATTCATTCAAGTTGGGCAGGTCATGTTGTGGCGAATACAAGCTAGGGAGATCGAGTTCTTGCTGCGCGCCTTCTCAGATGAGGTGCGAAAATAAGCGTAACATCTGGCTAACTACCCGCCGCATGCGGGAAACCCTGCGGATGCTTTGGACGACGCGTACGAATGCTTGGCCACAGCGGCGAGATGGGTTTCGTCGTTCAGTCTTTTTTTACACAATTGGTGGGGGTTTCAACACGCTGCTCAATACAGGCGCTCGCGCAGAGAAGCTTTGAAGATTCACAGGTTGCTTCAATTTGCACATCGCCAACGACGGCGGAGGTTGCTCTCGGGATAAGGCGTGCACTTTCACAAGCAGCTTGGGTGTGAAGCGGCAGATCGATTGCTTTGCACGGGCCTGGTTGTCACGTAGTCCACGCGTCTGCCGTGGACAGCCTTGACCTGGGCTCAGACCACAGAGCAGTCGAGGCAGTGCTTGTCCAGAAGGGCCGCTCCGTAGACTGCAACGCGCGATCGAGGCGGAACCCTGCCCAGAAATGGGTTGAGCCAGACAAGTCCTCTTCTAATCTGGAAGTGGCCTACAACTCTCACGGGCATTGAAGCGGTGATGGTTTCTGTCGCAGATGCAGGCCGCGACGATGACGCCCCGCGTGCCGCTGATCTCGCTGATGGTCGTAGATTCAAGGAGTTGCGGCACGAGCGGAAGATATGCGCAGACAAAGCGAGGCGGAAAGAGTTGTCGAAGGAAATCTAAAGGGCAGTGCGCGACAACCTACGCAGACTCAAGAGCTAGAATATTGTTAAGATTCTCGGCGACTTCCGTGACAGATCTGCTTTGTCTTCTGTGCACCGGCTCCCGTCCCAGCGCGAGACCAACTCCAGCGGGCCGCTGGACAACATGGCAGAGTTCATGGGTGACGTCTTCGCGAGCGACCCGTGCTGTCCAACGTTCGCGACGCCGACACGAGCGCATTCCCATCGGTCACGCCTGGGGAGTTGAGCCGTGCCGTGAAGCAAATGGCAAAAGGCACGCGCCGGGACCAACATGGAATTGCTTTGGAGATGTTTTCGAAGGGCGGCCCGGTGATTCTACAGTTCCTCGCTGCAGCTCTGACTGATATGTTGCGACAGGGACGCGTTGACGAAGATTGGCATACATGCTTCCAAAGTCTGGGGATTTGTCTAATCCGTCCAACTGGTGCCCGATAGCAATTCCTGATAGTGGCGTACAAAATCTTCGCCCGCTCACTCCACGGCCGCCTAAAGCACCAGCTCCACCAAGAACAGTCTGACGAGCAGATGGGTTTCATGCCGGCCCGCAGCACATAAGACGCCATGCTAATCCTGGCAACGGTGATCAGCAAGGCGATCGACTATCACGTGCCCCTCTTTTGTTGCGAGCTTTAACTTGAAGACGGCATTTGATCGTACTCTGTGACCGCAGTTGATTGAAGCTTTGGATGTACAGGGAGTTCCCCGCCCCTGCTTGCAGATATTGTCGGCGACAAACAAGAGACATATTCGGCGACTCGGAACTCACGCCATCTTCGGCGTCAAAAGAAGCGTTCGTCAAGGTGACGTTCTCAGCCCGCTGCTGTTTAATGCCGGATTGGAGATGGCCATGCGGCGCCGGCAACCCCGCTTGCGCGACCACGGCCTGAAGCTCGAGCCCAGATGCCGCAGCAGACGCCTGTCCCACGTGCGTTTCGCAGACTATCTGATTGTCCACGCAAACAATCTGGGAGAGCTCACTGAGATGCTCGACGCGCTGAGCGAACAGCTGCAGCGAGTTGGCCTGGAGCTGCACGCCAAGAGCAGCCGGATCTTCAGTTTGGAAAAGCACTTGTACGATAACGCATCTGGGGTCTTAGTCGACACAGCTGGTGACTTCATCAACGCAGTGAGGTCTTCTGATTACCGCACGTACTTGGGAAGTTGTTTAAAGGTCATGAGAGCTCGCACTGGCTCGCAAGCCAACCACATGCACGTGCTATATAATGCTGGACCCCTCCGGCCTGCGGGCCGCAGCACCTGACCCAGACCGCGAGGAAGACGAAATTGCGACGGCCGCTCCCGGCCGACTTCGCGCTGCCAGGGCGGCGGGCAGAGGAGGAGGAAAAAAGAGAGGCCACCAGCAGCTGCTGGGGGAAGCGAAGGACAGGCACAGCAATCGCACTCCTGGGCATGCAGCGGCGAAATGTGGGCTCCCTTCGGAGCATCCTGCACGCCCGCGCTCGGCTGGACGCAGGGATGAGGCAAGGAGAGGGAGGGAGACAGCAGGGAGGAGACCAGATCAGCAGGAACAAACGGACAACTCCAGCGTGCATCTGCGCCAGCACGGCCAGGGGGCGAAACCATGCGGGGGACGAGGGATATGTGCAGTTTCTGCGTCCGTGATCCCACTCAGAGAGCTGCCAGCTCGAAGGTCATTCCCCGAAGCTGCTCGCCACGCAGGGCGCCATCTGCACGCTCGACAACGCGGCGCTGCCGCGGGACAAGCGCTCAGGAGCGGGGGAGGAAGAGGGCGACGAGGAGAGGGAGGCGGCGGGGCAGGGGAAAAACAGGCGGCTTCACCAGCGCCTCTTCTGAGCACCAGCGCGCGGCCTCCGGCCGCCGGGAAGTCGGTCTCTGGGCGACCTGAAGAACCGAGGCAGGGCTACGCTTGCAAACCGGTTTCGTTGTGCACGGGCCAAGTTCAATTCGTTCAGGGCGGCCCTGACGAACGAACACGCCGACTTCGACCTCCGTACCTGGCTGTTCGTTACGCCGGCGGCCTTGTACGGTCTGTCGACGGCGCCTCTGAAAACGAACGGCGTTGAAAAGCGTGCAAATACACGTCGGCAGATGTTACGCTGCATGTTGGGATATGTCAAGCTCGACACAGATGACTGGTCAGACAGGTACAGAAGGCTGAAGACAAACTCGAAGCAACACAAGCTCGCAAGCCCATCCGGCAGTGGGCCACGGAGCTTATCAAGAGGAAAATCCGGTTGCTGGAGAAACTCGCTCGTCTGGAGCAGAACACGCTGTTGAGCTTAGTCGCGCAAACCTGCCTGCCCAGCCGAAGCGCTGCAGAGGCAGGCCACGAACGACGTGGCGCAGCAGTGTTTGATTCCCGCTCGCGTTTCCTTGGTCGTCCCCCCTCCTGTCTGTCGTCCCTCCCCCCCGCTCCCCTCGCCTCGCCTCTCGTCCTTGCCCGTCGTGCGTCCCTCTCTCCCTTCGCGCGTCCTCTCCGGCCCTTTTCGATGCACAGCCATGAACGCACCAGCATTAGAGGACATGCAGCAGCAGAGGACATGCAGTTCGTGCAACTGCTTTTGTTTCACTCCGCGTCCAGTATCGGACCGGGTTTCGTGCTCGTACGGGACCTTGCCTTGCCCGTGCCGAGGAGGCAGCGGCTAAAGGCCATGAGGTCTCGGGCTGTTCTTCTTCAGGAGATGCGTATGAGGATGAGCCGCTTGGCAACCGCATCGCTAAATCCACAAGGAGTCCACTCCCTCGTACGTGTCCTCCTACCCATCCTCCTGCCCGATTCCACCTCTCTTCCTCCTCCTCATCCTCGTCATCATCATCATCCTCCTAGTAGTATTATTATCGTGATTCACCTTCTTCTTCTTCAAACTAGTCTGTTTCACAGTATGTGCGTTATTGATAGTATTGTGTAGTTTTCTGTTCTGTCTTCATCTCATACGTACTACTCTTTGTATGATTCGCAGTACCATCATTCGAGTTCGTATCATTGTTCTTATGTTCGTTCACAGTACTCGTATTGTGTGTGTCTTCCTCCTCCACCTCCTCCTCCTCTCCTCCTCCTCCTCCTCGTCCTCCTCCACCTCCTGTGTACCCCCACCGCCGTCTCCTCGTCCGCCTCCATCTCTCGTCCCCTCCCGCCCCCCACCCGCCACGGCCTCCTCGCGCTCACCATCTGGCTTGCAGCCGCCAGTCTGCCGCCACATGCATGCCGGCGAGCAATCCTTGTTCTCCTGGCCGCCGCAGAGGGCGCCGCCCGACCGCTCTTTCCGACCGGGCCCAGGGCCACACAAATGAGTGGGCACAACTCCCAGGAGTCCCCGTATGTTTCCAGATCTTCTGAATGTTCGTCCTCCTCTCCACGTCCCACATGTTCCTATACTTTCCTGGGGATCGGCGTTTTTACGTGTGCCTGGGCCCATCCTTCCCTCCTGAGACTTTCCGAAATGAACGGCGGGCCCAGAACCCTGGCGCTGCACAGAGCAGGAACGTCCGTCTGCTGAGAGTGAGCCTCTGGAGGTCCCCGTTTTTCGGGCCCCAGATGAGTTGTTTCACCCTCTGGGCCATAACGCGCGTTACATCCCCCCTCCCCCCCCTCCTTCCCCCCTATCACGTGACGCCCCCCTCACTCCACCCGCCCAGTGCATCCCAGGAACTGCCGCAATGCGTCTGGCATCTCAACGTGTCACGGTGGTGGGCGGGAGCGTTACTTTATGCCCCCCCTCCCACCCCCCCTCCCATAACGCCCGTTACCGCTGCGAATGTTTAAAGCATGCTCTCTAGGGACCCACCAAAGGGCAACCTACGGCGAGAAGTCCATGCGAATTCTGGCGTCGGGGGCCTCCAAGCGCCCCACAAGAGGCCGCCGCAACCGAAGGGCTCCACAACAGCCTTAGCACAGCCCACGACAGTTCCAGGTCGGCACACAGGCAACCCAACCACTGCCCGATGAAAGCCCCAAGACATCAACGGTGCCCATCAGGACTGCCTGCCCATGCAACTACCCATCAACATCTCGCCATGATCCCCCATGGCCCTCAAACGGCATGCAAGGTAGCCCGCGGACGACCCTTCACAGGACAGAAATGCTGGACAATCTGAAAGATGATTCCTGGCGCTCCTAGCTGGCTTGCGGAAGGTATTCGAGCTTCCCTGGGCGCCTCAAACATAAACCCAGGTAAGCCCAGACGACCTCCAGGCGCTCCAAAATGCCACCCAAAGGATATCAAGTTGCCCCAAGACCACTCCACGATGGCCCGAAGAAGGCCCAAAACGGTGCCAAGACACTTAGCCCAATGCCAAGCTTTCACGACGCCCTACAGATCTCCAAAACTTTAAGTACTGCCAGAGGCACCGCAGGCGGCACCATGCACTGCGGCCTGTCGTCGCACCCCAGGCCCTTGATCCTCTTCCTACTCATGTGTCTCATCGAGCCCGCTGACTGGATGCTGGAGCTGTCACTCCTCCTCCTCCTCCTCCTCCTCCTCCTCCTCCTCCTCCTCCTCCTCCATCCTCCATCCTCCATCCTCCATCCTCCATCCTCCATCCTCCATCCTCCTCCTCCGCCTCCTCCCTCTTCTCCATCCCTTCTCATTGCAAAATGGCCCCTCCCGCTCGCACTACCAGTCACTGCCAGACGTTTCGGCAGGCTGCAGGCTGGGCTGGGCGATTCGCCTGGAACATCCTGTCTATACATTGTATGGAACTTTGCAAATCACACTCCTGCTCAGCATGTGGTTCTCGCCGTAGCGCCGCGCGCATCTGTCCTAAAAGATCTCACCAATCACACTTTACAAGGGTGGGGGGCGAATCGCGCTCAATATGAGGCTTCTGCCTAGGCACCGCAAACATATTAAATATTTAAATGTTGTGGATCGCCCCCCAGCCGGTACACGGACGGATGGCAGTTCCCGTTCAGATGTGCGGGGGCTCTTGCTTGACGTTGTTTAGTATTATATGGCCAGAAGTTGAATCTTGTGCAAAGGTCACACGGAGTGCAGGCGGCCCTTGTTCAAAATAGGTGTCCCGTTTGCGCCTTCATCAGTCTTAAAAACCAGAAGCTCCGAGGGACGCAAAGGATATACAGACGGATAGCGGCTCCGTTCTATGACAAGGCACTCGCTGAAGTGCCTCTTACATCATGCTGCACCCTCCGTTGCTCTTCTTATGGCGGGGCGGATAAAGGCTGGACTCTTGTTTTCAAGACGCTCTCCCCCGCCTGAATTTCAGGCGCTCGTCTTGCATGGGGCCGCTTCCCGTGGTGAACAAAGACAGCGTGCGGAGACTCAAAAGGAGGACGGGACTTGGACCGGGCAGGTGTATTGAAGCGTCTTCCAACTACTGTGTTTAATCTGGTCATTCCACATCCTCCAGATTCGCGACAAGAGCAACAGACTGGCGTTGTGGTGCCGCACACTGAAGCTAAAGCTAAGAGCTGACGGCCAACATGAGCCTGCAGCTAAAGCGAGAGCATGCACTTGGCCGGAAGATGCAGACGATACCGAAGCCACAGCAAAGCTTGAAGCTAAAGCGGTTCGGATGTACGACAATCAAATTTTACGATAGCCACATATGACTTGGAGGAGCAGCAATGCAAGAACAAGTTCGAGGGTGCAATGCGAAACAAGATGCTAGACACGCGAGACGCGTGTGAAAAGGGCCCCCCCGCAGAACTCTAAGACACCGCCAGATTACGCCAATCCGCCGACCCATGCTTGCTGGGGGTGAAAAGGCGTGTGAGGTGATTGGTTGTCCCCCTCACCCATTCCTCCTCCCCTGGGGTCTTAAATCCTATTCGAGGGGGGGAGGCACGAGCTCGTCAACGACCTTCGAGGCCCTCCGAAAAGGAAGAGAAACCCAAGAAGGATCAGGAGAACCACAAGAGGGCTCCAAGATGGGCCAAGAGGGCTCGGGGACGGCCCAAGAGCGCTCCGAAACGCTCAATGTTTCGCCCACAACATCCCTCAGGCCCCCAATACACCCCAAGAGCGCTCCAAGAGGCCCCCCAAGAAGCCAGTCGTCAATTGTCCTTCGGGTTTGAAGGATGTTAGCGTTATTGCCTTTCGGGCTTCCGACGCTCCAAACGGCTCAGAATGCCCCCAAGATCTCCCCGAGACGGCCCAGGAGGCCCCCCAGATGACGCTCAGACGGCCTAAGAGGGCCGCTAGACGGCCTAGGGGGCCCCCAAGAAAACCCAAGACGGCCCCAAAAGGGCCAGATAGTGCCACGTTGTCCTGTGCTGCGAGTTTTCTCTTGCATTTTGACGGTGGTACTCGCGCCGAGCATTGCTCCGCGGCCCTTGGTACATCGAAGCTGTTAATGTCTGCGGTCAGAGCACAACGCGGCCTCTTGAAATTCAGGCTGGAACGTTTGTGTCTGACCCTATCTTTTCAGGCGTTGGTTCATCAAATACTGTCCTTTCGTGCGCGACCGTTACGAGGTGACTTGGCACCTCACGAGTGACTTAGGCTTTGTGGCAAAGAAGGGAGAACAAGAACCGACAGTTCGAGCCCTCCGCCCGAAGATGACCCCCGAGACCGGCACCAGGCCCCCGAGAGGCCCCCTAAGAAGCCCCAGGAGGGCCCCCTTAGAGGCCCAAGTGAGGCCCCAAGAAGCACACGAAAGGCCCCCTAAGAGGCCCCCGAGGAACCCAAAACCGCCTCCAGCAGGATGCCATGAGCATATATACGTGAAAACCCGCCCCGACCAGCTTGGAAACAAGGATACCCCAGCGACGACCCTCGACGGACTCATTTGACCGAAAGAATCTCTACAAGGGCGACCTCGACAAGGCCCCCAGAATATCAAAGGCCTTCCCGTCGTCCTCGTCCTCCTCCTCATCATCGTCCTCCTTCTTACTCCAACCGTCGTCGTCGCCGTTTTGTTCATCCTCTTCCTCCTTCTGCCTCATGCTCCGGGTGTCGGAGGAATGGCGTAAGCCTCTTGATTAGATGTGATGACGATACAGACGTCATCTTCGTCCTCGCGAAAACTGTTTTGGGGGTAGACGGAATGGCTCATGGTCATGCGGAAAAAGATGTAAGACAAAAAGGCCACGCGTGGTCCGAGCGTCCTCAGCGACCAGGGGTGGGGTCACATGTAGGGTTTTGCCACTTCCCCTCGCCTTGCTTGCGCGGGCACGCTGGGCCTCCTGCACCCTGCCAGCTTCCCCGCCCCGGAGTCCTCTTCCTCCAGCTTCCTCTTGGCCTCCCTGGCCTCGTCTTCCTTTTTCCTCTCGGCGTCCGCCACGGCCTTGGCCTCCTCGGTGGGCAGAGGCGGCGCGAGGAAAGGGATTGCGGAGGATAGGGGGCAGGGGAGCAGGGAGGAGAGACTGAGGCTGCAAAAGAGGGCAAGGTGGCACGCAGTGGTGATGGGGAGAGTGAGCGGTGAACGGTCAAAAAAGGGGGAAAGGGGAAGGCAGACGAGAAGGCGCGGGACGGGATAGTTTTGGTTCTTTTAGGTCACCAGCCATGATGAAACAACTCCGCGCCAAAATGCGACCCTGATCAAATGATACTACTTACATAAATGCACATTTACACGTGGTCATGCAGCCGGTTCCCCTGACAAATTATGCGTCGGAGCTGAGAAGAGGAGGACGAGGGGCCATAACCAGACCTGGGAGGAGAGGGGGGACGAAGCGGCCAAGAGCAAGGCCAAGAGGGCAGGAGAGACGGTCCCAGCCTGCACCCCGAACGTCTAGTCGGGCAGCGGATGAAAAACCAGGGCACGGGCCGCATGGCAACGGAAGGTCCGGGCGCGGAAGCGGGCGTGGAACGCGAATGGATCAGGTCGTGGTCCTGCGGCGCACAATCCGCCAATCGCAAGGCCGATCGAAACCAGAACAGGAGAGCCACCCTCGACGTTCACGCACGCTACAATGAAGGCTGAACAACAAGGTCCTTCACCCCAATCGACAGGCAGAGCACGAAGAAGAGAACGGACAGTCGGAAGCCGACACGGGCGCATCGTATAATCGGGGATATCATCACCACCTACAACATAACATCCAAATGTACACTTCTGGCGGCCATCACGACAATGGCGGGACGTGGCCCAAGCACTGGCCATGGTTATCAAGGTCGAACAGGCTATACACGAACCGAATTTCCTACCGATGATCGTCGCCTGAGCCTGGCCAGGTCAGCCTGGGCAGGGGCGATAGAGATCACATAATTCAGACGAGCATGGAAGGCAGGGGCAGGAGAGAGACGAGTTCGCGGGCGACTTTAACTTGGAGCACAAGACACAGCGACGATGGGACCGAGGAAATCGACAGTAATTCATCCAAGGTCCTCAACATGGTGATAAACCGCCAAGGAGCGATAGGTCGGGGAGGCCATGCACGTCATAATACAGTCATCATCATACTTGAGAGCGTCGTAGAGATCACGGGGGCGAGTGCGCTCGTCAAATTTCAGAGCGGCGCGGCATTGGGCGGCGCGGGCATGGCGGGAGGCTGCACGCAGAGCAACTGACCCCAGAAGAGCCGAGATCCCTCGGCACAGAGCTCGTGGGCGAACGTCTCGGCGCACAAGGCATCTGCTGCAGCGCCTCTCGCCCCACGGAAATGCACCCATTGCTCGCGGCAGTGAACTGGGCAATGTGCTGGGTAACAAGCCGGCAGCACGCGTTACGCGCGCGAAAATGTCCTGCAAGACCTAAGCACGGGTATTCCACTTACCTGGAGCGTTTTACGAGGGACTGCAAGGGAAATTGGAAGACCTATTTCCCCAGCCAAAACACAGGACCACGCCCAGGTAAAGCCCGAAACTGCAAATCTTGGAATCCGCAACTCTCAACTCTTCAACCCGGCAGCCCCTGCGGAAGAGGGGCCCCGCATCATCGGAGCGCAATGCGAACTGGCACTTCTCGGCACGCAGGAGCAATCCAACGGCGAGGCATCTCTCCAGCGCCCATGATCTGATGGCAGCGCTGATGCGGATTAAGCCCAACAATAGAATGCCCGCGTTGCCAGCCCGAGCGCGGCATGTCATCGAGACCGGGACTCGATTTCTTCGCGCGGCTCAGCATTCCAGTGAACTGCTCGGGGCCCAATAACAAAATGGCGCCCTGGAGGCTCCCATGGACCCCGGGGGCCAAGTGCTCCGCGTCCGGCAGGCGGCGGGCACAAGGACTCACCGCTTTGGCCTAGTGGTCCTGAAGGAAGTCCTCGCAGTTCGCGGGGCCCGAAAGAGGGGGCCCACGGGGCCCGCAACGCCGCGGAGCACCACTTGTCCGGGACATGGGGGGGGGCACGCCCTAGACAACCTTTCGGTTTTAGCGAGCCCGCCAGTCCTAGCCGTCGGGGGCATGGATGCTCCGCGGACGAGTTCCACTCGTTCTCCTTCGAGCTCAGGGCGGCTGAGGGCGACGACGAACGCGCGCGAGCGGTCGGAGTCGACGCAGTTAGCATCAGTATCTACAAGATCAGAAGGGCGGGGAAATCGGCGACCAACGAGCTTCATCATCTGACCGTCCTGCTTGCGCCGCGCACGATCATAGCGCATGCGCCGCGCAATCTCATGGCCAATGCATTTGGAACTCGAAGCACGCGTTCTCTCGGGCATGTCACTAGACACCGCGCGCATAGTGGAATGCACGGCTACAGCAAATCCATCAGGGAAGCCATCTTCTCCCATTGCTTCCTCCACCTGCTTGCCGAACTCGGGCGGGCGCGTCCGCCGCGATTGTCGCAGCATCCGGCGAGAGAACAGAGAGGCGCGCATGCATCGGAGAGCGGTCGCTGATGTCCGGCAGATCGGCCGGCAGCCGCTCGACTCCAACAGCTGGTCAAAATCTAAAAGAACCGAGGGAGGCTAATTGGTGTCCGATCAAGACGCGCAGTGCCCATGAGATCTCCACTATGCCGAGCGCGGCGCGGGCGATTGCCCCGCGCGAGCTCCGCGCATCGAGCACAACCGGTCAAATTCAACTCCGAGCGTTCCCCTAGGGGCACGATTAAGCTCAGGGTCAACATGCTGGGCGCAGCTTTCGCAAAGTCCCACCAGCCCTCTGGGCGTCCGTGGTTTAGAGAGTTTCCTCTTCACCCCCTCCTTCTTCCCCTTCGGGAAGGGGTTTACCCCTCCCCCTGCCCCCTCCCCACAGACCTGGACAGGGGGTTTCTCGAGCTGTCAGGGCGTCCAAACCGGCCTCGGCGAGGAAGCCAAAATCATTGATTTTACTATGGTTTTGACGCCAGTTTGGCCTCCTGGGGGGGGACTGTAATCCGTACCCTCCCCCTCCTGTGATCGATCTCACCCAAGATGGCCCACAGATGGCCCCCAAGGCTCCCAAGGGTGCCTCAAGAGGGCCCCAAGAGGTGGCCAAGAAGCCCCAAGAGGCCCCCAGGATGTCCCCAAGATGCCCCCGAGAGGCTCCCAAGAGACCTCCAAGAGACCTCCAAGAGGCCCCAAGAGGCTCACCAGAGGCACCCAAGACGCTCCAAGAGGCCTCGGCGACAATGCCAACATCGCTGATGTTACTAAGGTTTTGACCACATGTTGGCCTCCTGGGGGGGGGCACTGCTTCAGATGACTCCAAGAGCACTTGGGAGAGCCAAAGATGATCTCCAAAATGGCTCACGATATCCCAAGATGCCTCAAGATGGCGTCCACGATGCCCCAAGAGGCCCCAAGACCGCTCCAAGACGGCTCTAAGTGGCCAAAGAGCTCCCCCAGGAGGCCCCGAAGAGGCCAAAATCCTTCCAAAACCTGGAGAAAATACATGTTTTTGGCGTGCTCGCCGAGGCCTAAAGATGGCTCCAAGATGGCCCAAGATGGCTTCACGAGCGCTCCCAAGTCTCCCAATAGCGCTTCAGGAGGGCCCCAAGAAGCGTCCAGGAGGCCCCAACAGGCGTCCAAGAGGCCTCCAAGAGGCTCCCAAGAAACCCCCAAAAGGCCCCACGAAGCTCTCCGAGGCACCCAAGACGCTCTATGAGGCGTCCGGGACCGCCAAGAAGCCCCCAAGACGCTCCAAGAAGCATCCACTGGGGGTCCCTTCCTCTGTGTGCTGCCCGCTTCCCTTATCGAGGCAATTCCTCTGGGCATCGTTTCTGGATGGGCTGGTGGGGATCTTTTGCTCGGTCGCGTCCGCCAGCGAGAGAGCGAGAGCGCACGCGGAGTCAGAAGCGTTCCGGGACACGGAAGCGGCCGAATTAGCTACTAAACGCGCCGCAGGCCGGCCGGCCCACTCACAAAGCAGCAGCAGGCTGCGCGGGAGAGCTGGCGGGCTGAGGGCGCCCAGGGAAGCTCGGGCACTTGCAGCCTAGCAACACGTCAGGAAATTAGGGGTGTGCCGTGAGGCGAAGCCCGCTCAAGGGCGCGAGGACGAGTGCGCCGATGACTGCGCGTCCATCATGCCAGGTGGGCGTCCAGGGGTGGTAAGCGATGGGCGAGTCGCCAGTGGGGCGCCAAGCCCAGGTCGTTCCAACGGCGTGTGCGAGCAAGGCGGGCTGAGCTGCCGAGGAACGTCGCAAACCTGCCTGGTGGATGGGAGGGTCCCAGGGGAGCGGCCGCGACTGCAAAGGCTGAACCACTCGGAAGCGGCACGGGGCTCCAAGGTCCACCATGTCGTGCACCACGGGGAAGGCCCCAAGACCCCAGAGGGCCGACCCCACTGGTGGGGATTCTTTTTTGGTCGCGGCCACGAGACAAGGGTCAGGCGGCGAAAGCAAAGTCCGGGGCGCGAGCGATGCTACCTAGCGACAAGAGGCACAGGACGGCCGGCCCACTCGCAAAGCAGCCGCGAAGCTGAAGGGGAGCTGCCGGCGGACGGCATCCTGAGAGCTCGAGCACGTGCACAGGACAAAGTGTCATGGAATCCGGTGCCTGCCATGGCACGACCCACGCAGTAAGAGACGTGGACCAGGATGACCATGTCCGTCGTTCCGAGTGGGGGCAAGAGGGAGGCCAGTGGAGTGAGTCGCCAAAGGGGCGCCAGGCTCCACACGCCCTGACGACGTGAGCCAGCCAGAAAGGCTGACCTGTCGCGAACCGTGGTGCAGCGCAACTGGGGAAAGCTGATGGTGAGCCTGGAATGCTGTACCTGCTGCGGAAGGCTGAACCACTCCGTAACGATGCCAACGCCTGTCAGACCACCCCGCAGCGCGAGGGGGAACCGAGCGACTGCGAGCCACGCAGTGCGTGCCGGCACGGCGTCAGGCCTCTGAGCGAGGGGTGGGGAACCAGCCGGCGCGGTGAGCATCGCCAGCGGGGAAGAGCAAAGTGAGCTGCACTGGTGGTAGTGTTGCCTTGAAGGAG